TGAATATCTCGGAAAAGCACGAGAAAAGCCAGAAGCCCAGCGCAATAGATAGACGTAACCCCGCGCCACGAGCGAATGAAACGAATAAAACCAGCTACCACCGCTCGTACGCATTGGTGGAAAGGTAACCCTTCCCCCTCCCCCCCAAAGGAGAACGTTATCGACTTTTCATCGTGAACGGTTGAAAGGGCCGGTTAAAAGCTCTCGACGGTTTCTTGGACCGGTCGTCGTCGCGTTGTGTCCGCGAGCGTGTCCTTTTCGAAACAGAACATTCACGGGTACCCCGCCTAACCTCTTTCCAGCTTGCATTATGCTCTTACGCTCATGCATAAACCGTACGTAACAGTTGCCGCGGTACATCGTTGTGTCTCTAGCTGCTAACGAACCCCTCGGCAACGTGCTCGTGACGAGGGTCGCAAAACGAAAGCGCTCGTTTGCAGCTAGTGTACAAATCCTCCCTCTTGTCTCCACTCACCGGACCCCCTGTTCGTGAGCCTTTCATTTGTTGTCGCGATTTTTCAGCATCGTGTCGGTTTATCGTTTACTTTCAATACTGTTATGACTGGTGAAAATTTGTGGTCGAACTTGGGGTGCAAACGGGGAAAAGTGATGCATATGGGTCAAGGCATGGCGTCTGGGAGGACATCTCCAAAGGGCCTATTTAACCCCTTCGCATCGGAGGACGAGATATCTCGCCACGTGATTTCGTTTATGATATGCTTTGGACGAGATATCTCGCGAAACAAAGTCGTTCATGCGACGCTGTGTACCTGGTCGTCCGCCATCATGGCCATGATGTCTGCTTAATCCGATGCATCCTCTTTCATGACCGCACGTGCTCTAGAACCCCGTCATAAATCCTCCAAGGGTCAATGAGCGTCAAGCCATCCCCCTTCGACTTCACTTAAAACACGTTGACGCTAACACGTATCACCCCCTTTGTCATTTCTCGAACACACGCCGGAAGGCTGATTTTCTCATACCACTAAGGACCGCCCCTAAAGTTTTTGCAGTGTCAGCTGTTGTCTCGAAACGACGTCTCTTCTAACCCTTCTTAGCGTTAGGAAATAAAAAAAAGTCGCTCAGTACGAGACCTGGCCTGGACGCAGGCTGTGACTGCAGTTTAATACGTTCTTTGGTCGAACGTTGATGATGTTACTATTTTTCCTGTCATGAAAACAAAAGCATTGACACGCACCAGGGATTAATCGTTTAATCCAAAGGTTAGAGGAGTCCAGAAGCTAAATTAACCGGATGATGTCGGGACGTCGTTCTAGCGAGTTGTGACGCGGAAATAATAACGCCACGGGAGGGAAACGCGCGCATGGAAACGTAAAACCCGCGTATTCACGATTTCCACGTGCTACCTGGCGCGCAAAGAACAAAGCAACGCGGCCCGCCGCGGGCGTACCGAGCTGAAATGCCGGGAATAGTGGTCGCGGTCAGATTTACAGCGTATTTTCTGCGATTGTAGGAGACGCATGGTATCGCCTGGCCTTGAACAATCGCCGTGTGTTCGCCGATTTATATTCGGCCTTTTATTTCTGCCTCCCGACACGGCAGAGCCCAGATGAGATTCGTTACACACCACGGACCAGTTACCCCTATCCAGCATTTGCATACGCTTCCGGGGGGTGCACGCTCGCATTTGTCATTCCGTATCGCTGCCGCGCTCGGCCACGATTCTCGTGGCTGCACCCGATATTAATCCTCGGGAAAAATGCGGTCAACTCTACTACAGTTCACCGGGAACTCTTTCAGTGGGAGCGGGAATCGGCCCAACTCCCTCTTCGCTGCTACGTCGACGGAAAATTTGATGTACGTGTGGCCAGACGTTTGATGGAGTTTGCTGTTCACGCTTGTGAATTGCGATGGACCTTAAGGGGTTATGCCTACCTACGAGCTCGAAAAAACATGACGCCTTGAAGACGCTGATTTCAGTTTCACATCCGTCTGTGTGCTATTTGGCTAGTACTAATTGCCACTTTCATTAAGTCAAGTGAATCCATAACAGAAATGCGAGTAAATATTCACACGATATTGATCACCCGTATATTACACTCAATTTGGGGACCGGTAATTAGACGACGAGTTAATACGATGATACTGCAAGTTACGGGAGTTGTAATTTCGGAAAACGGACGGCATACCAATTATTCCCGCGTTCTGTGGGAAAAATACTCGTCAATGAATTCACGGGAAACAGGGCACCCACCGTAAATTTCGATAGTATAACACGAAGCTTCATTTATTTAAATTAACGTCCCACCGGAGCTAATAACTACCGAATTAATACGATACTGGCTGAATTACAGTAATAATCTTTGACTAACGCTTATTATATTACCCGAGGAACAGATAACCAGCAACACCATCCGTTGTGTCAAACATCGAGCGCCGTAAAATATTGGAAACCGATTCTGATCGAGTGGACATAAAATTCTTGTAAAATCATATCATGTTCACCTACGTACACGAAGAAATCATACCTTTGAAAGCCAACGCGGATGAATTAATCACATTTATATTGAATTCGAAAATTTCACAGAGACTATCTACAATTTACTTAACAGTATCACCAAAATGTGTAATTCATCATTGGCAGCAATCCCTGTACCGCATCGACTGCAAAGAATTAATTAACCACCGTAATACCAAGGGGGGTGAGGGGGTATCTTTTTGCCCACCATATATATGACAGAATAGCCTGAAGGCCCATTTAGAAACAAGTTTTATATTCTTAACAAAATCCTTTATAAAAATGTTTATTCGTAGCAACTTTCTGGGTGTTCATTTCAAACAACTCAAGCGAAATTTGAATATGAACCCGCACCGATTCCGGCTGTAGAACCTGAAAAGCATAACCCTCGCCGAGGGCGCAAAGGGGCGCGAGTGGAGGTGGCCTGGCGGGGGGCTGGCGAAAGGGATACCAGGTGGGCGAAGCACGTCGAAAAGTTAGTCGGCGGAAAATATACACCAGCGCTTTTACGGAAGTTCGGATTATCGGAAAAGCGGCTTCGAAATGCGAGCCACCGCCAAGGCGGCCGGATACTCGTGGAAACTCAGCCGCGAAGTTGCCTTCGGTCGGGTCGATTCCGACCATTGGAGAGCGGGCGGGCCGTGATAGTAGTTTTCCACGTAAAAGCCAGCCTCTTCGTCGGACGACGGATACACCGTGGCCTTGGTAACGACGACGGGAAGTTTCGAATTTCTAGTGCCTGGTCCGATGGATAGAGAGCGCCGCTCGATTTCTTATTTTTCGTCGATGGGCCTGATGAAAATGTTCTCTCCGGTGGTCGCTGGGGAAAGCTTGATGCCGATGCTGAGGTGGATTTGGTAGGGAAACCGTTGCTAATGGTAGTTGTGTTCCTTCGGAAGCTATCGCTTTGTGGAGATACTAGATGTAGGGAGATAGTTGACTAATATTTAATATGTCTGATTTTTATAAATGAAACATTTGTATTTTGTTGACATGTTGCATACCAAAAATTTATACATATACTCAGGTATCCAGGCTTAATTCTAAAAATCGTTTTAATTAAGCCTAGGTGGTAGTTTTTATCATATTTAGATTAGTGAGAGCAATATGTCAAGAAAGTCGACCATTCGTTCGTTAAAATAATGACACGAAATGATGAAAAATAGTCGTACGTATTAATTACCTCTTAAAAAAAAATTGTGTATCAGTATTGAATTATTTCTAAATAGTTGGAACGTATACTCCTTCTGAAAAAAAAGTATGGATTAATCATTGGTGTATTTAATGCGCTTACAATGATATATTTAAATAATGTATTATAGTTAAGTAAGGTACTAGGAATATATAACAGGAAACTGAAATCAGTCGACCCTCCGGAGTTGTGAGCGGTTGATAGAATATCAAAGAATTTTTGCTTTTTATCTTCGTTCAGGGTAGATTGAAAAATCAAGAAAAATAGTCGGTCGTTATCACGGCTATCAGTGTGCTCCGGTGATAGAGAAACCGAAGCCCGCGTAAAAATATGACCGAAAATATCAGTAACTCGAAGGTGGAACTTATGGTCGCGATATTTTATGGGATTTCATGATCGCGATAATGCCGCCTATAGAACTTACGCGACGCTCACGATTTATGGACGACGTCGCCGATACTCCATTGGGACAGATTGCGATCTAACAATCTAATGGAATCCGAAGAGGGGAACTGTAAACAGAAAGCTACCGTTCGGAGAGTGTTCTACCGTATCAAAAGTAAATATCGGGATTAATTTAATGAATTTAGAAAACGAAATAAAGACGAGTTTCCATTGTAACGTGTCAATGAATTGTGAATTATTTATGGTTAGATTTTAAATAGCTAACAACTTAATAAAGGTACCTATTATTGTCATTCGGTTGTATATCAAACGAATGTATTGTTAATGAATAGCTATTTTACATATCGAATTTTTTGGAAAAGATAACTGAAATTGAATACATAATTAAAAGTGCTTTCGTAAAGTAGCTAGGTCCTATAAGTTACATGGTAGTTGAAAGAGATTAGTGACTGTGATGGAATATCGTAATTGGTTAAAAGGAAATTGTACCTTCAATTTTTATTATATTACAGTTTAATTACTTATATTTAGTAAAAAATCTCACATCCAACACTGTTACCACCTAGTGACATTTGTAGAAAAAACTTTTCAGGAATGACACATCGTATTAACGAGCAGACCGACTCCAATGTATGATTCTCGAATTGTTTCGAGCAGTATATAAAAAATAGGCATTAATATCCAAAACGATTGACCTAATTTATCAACTATGCACGACGGAAGCCTGCGTCGTTTCATTTTCACCAGGCTGCATTCTTCTGCACAGTCCACTATGCCATTGAAATTCGAGTCGCGTTAGGATCTCGCATGCAAACGAGTCGGGGAGGATCTGGTATTAGTGGACGAAGCGAAGTATTTCCCCGGAAATACCGCGGCATTGTGCGAGTAACGATCACGGCTAATGAGTGACTGTCTGTGTTTCAGGCGTACGTTGATTTGGTGAAAGCCTGGGGCTGGAAGAGCTTCACCATCATCTACGAGAACAACGAAGGACTCGTGCGTCTGCAGGAGCTGTTGAAGGCGCACGGACCAAGTGAATTCCCTATCACGGTCCGGCAACTCAGCGAGGGGTCCGAATACCGGTGAGTTTTCTACACCTGAATGAGAAAAGTATTTCATAATGTTTGATTCGATATGGCACCAGTTGGTTACACGTAAATGATCAAGCGATTTGTAAGTATATTTCCTTAATTGGATTTTAATTTGTTAGACAAAATTTAAACGGAATAGTACTGTAATAATTTAATTAACAATGCACGAGTGGTTATCTCGAGGATTATCCGACGAGGATATTGGCCATTATTAAACCACAGCGACGGTTTTCCAATTGACGATTATACATTTGGATTTGTACAGTCCTTCACTGGTACTGTACGTAGTGAAAAATTGAAGTATTCGGGGGACAGGTTCATATATCAACGGGGTTGTAACATTTTTAGCGAAGATTAATGCAATTTTATTTTATTCCTGGTCCGACAAAGTATCATTTTCGTGACAACTGACAAATGATTGTAAATTTTCGGCTGACTGAGCACGTTTCATATTACTTTAGGGCACTGCTACTATTTGTACATACAATTCTTATAGTATACGGTAAACTTTTAATTATTCTATGATTCGAATATTTTCCTTGCTCACTGCAAGCTTAGATTTTCAATATCGCTATGCACTTCAGTTTCTTGATTTATCCTTTACCACGACGTGTACTGATAGTCTGCAGCAATTTTCCGCAAAATAAAAAAATAGTAAACAACAAGAATTTCCTAAAAATCGAACAGGAATTTGAAATTAATATTTCATCTGCATAATTCTTCGTTTCTATTTTCTTCAATTACTGCCTGAATGTAGACGTAGAGACGATCCAGGAAATATTCCCGTGAATTTTCCGATGTCATTTTCAAAGATACCCACGCTCTGCTACCACTCTAAGTCCCTTATTACGGGAAGGCGTTTCAGTTTCAGCCACCGACACTCGAAATCCCGTAAAGCGAGCACCGAGTTCCTCGGCAGACGGAATTCACGATTAAGCGACTGTCTTGTAATTAACGCGGAATTGCGAGTCGGAGTTTTTGTTTGGTCAGACGGGAAGCCGTAAACCGGGGAAATTTCCGTCTCCTTTAATTGCGCGGATGATAAGGGAATCGGGACGTTTCTTTTTCTCTGTGGCTAATCCTCTTAAGTTACGAGCCCGTGCAGCTCGAAGGGAAAACACATTCTTTGTGGCGCCGTAATAAGGTTTAAATTTCCCGGTGATACGATACACACCGGAGATGACGTTATCGCGGCTAACCCGACGATCGAATTAACCCATTCACGTCCGGGACTCTTCGTAGTTTGAAAGTCATTGTGCGATCTAGGGTAAAACCTTGAAAAATACCGTCCAACTATTCAGTACGTTAATTTATGTAAAACTTGATCAACTGTTAAATAAACTATGTATTGGTTAACCAAAACATCTGAATTCGCTTGATACGATAACCATCCTTATAAATTTTAAGAAATACTTCGGTTTTTTGATTTCAGATAAGTGGATCTCGAATTTTAGGTATATATACACGGTTTGGGCACCGGTTTTTTTTGTTAACGTTACAGTCATTTCTAGTTTCTTCAGTATATATTAAACAAAATACCCTAAAAAATTGTTTTTATGTCTTAAATTATATATTAACAAACCTCGGACTGATTGTTTAGTCTGTGTTTTATAGTTTGTTTTATAAGAATTTTGAACAATCCGTTTTCTTGACAATTTTACATGAGAATGTATCCTTGAGGATAAAAGGATCTCGCCAAAAGTTCGCGGCGAAAGCAGAGCCTCGGTTTAAATCTTATTACTAGCGAGGCGTTAATAAAGCCCCTACCCCCGTCCACCCACTCGACGGCGAAGATGCTTGTTTGTTTCCTCGCGGCGCGGCGCCGAGCCGCATCATCGTCCCGGGTTTCTTTATGCTTCGCGGCGAATCCATTATTGCCGATTACTTCGGCCACTTTAAATCCCAGCGAGCGTGATAAACGAGGGCGATTTGAACGCCGTTTTCCCCACCCGTCGTGAATTTAATCGAATCACCCACCGATTTCAATTGCACTCTATCCGTCCCGTTGATGCACGTGTCCGTTGCAATTCCACTCACAGTCTCGTTTGACCGAAGGCCCGTACACGCTTCGACGGCGTCTTTACGATCGTTAACCTCTTTGTGATTTTGGCACTTGTTGGGGAGACGAGTCTTTGACCTCACCTATTGCCTGTCCGTAACAGAAAAATTGTAGGAATTGAAAAGGAAGGATGTCTAAGGTTTTAACGAACAACATAAACTTTCAGCAGTTGGCTCGTGAATGGGAAGTATCTGGCATATTACCTAGATTCCTCGGTTGTAGATGTCTTGCTTATTCGATCAGAAAAGAAGTTTTATTTGTAAATGGTACAGCTTAAAGGATTGTAAGGAGTAGATGATTTAAAAATTTAAACTGTGAGCTATTATAATCCGCCTGTAAACGTAATAAAATGTGTACTGGAACACGCGTTTGAAATTCAAATTGTACGATAACTACTGTTCACCCGCCCGTAGCTGACGTAGCTTTACCACATTGTGACAAATACCGTGATTAATCTGAATGCGATATTTCGTACCTGCGCGTAAAACTGTGTACCGACGTACACGTATTTACGCGTGTTCAATGAATACGTAAAAGCCTTTAACGGATCTTAAAGCGGATACGCAAATGGTTCTCCCGACTCCTCGAAGTGACGTACATTTCTGCCATCCGCAAACTACCGGGGGCGACCACAGTCTTGGAAATTTGACTTTATCTATTATTCACACAGGTTAAGTTCCAAGAAGTCCTATTAACTTAACCGGGTCCGCGTAAGAGCGCTATTAACTTTAAAACTCCGATTCCCACTAAGCCGCGAAACGTCCTCGCTTCGAGCTGTGCTTGGTCGTAGAATTTTCATCGCGGCGACGGCGGCGTTTCGGCAGCGGGGAAAATCGGCCAATAAAACCGGCTGCATCCGGACGATCCATCAAGATCGCTCGCAGAATGCAGTCAATCTATCATACGTCATACAACATAACTGCCTCCGAAAGTACGGATTCTAACAAGCGGGGATCCACGCTACGTTTTGCTCGTCGTTCGTGATAACTCTTAACCGAATCATGTCTACACGTTTCCCGCTTCATATCCGAGCTCTCGTGCCCAAGAATCCCGTAGTTGAATTCTGTGCGGCGCGATCATTAATCAATCTCCTTCGCTCGATTAAAAACAAAAAATGAATTGAATATGATAAATTAGCGTCAAGGTTTATTAATAGCGTTCAGTTCACTTGATTATACAAGGGAGGAAATATTGTAGCGAAGTGGAAGGCACAGAGGAACAGAACAGTTAAAACGGATGTAAAGAAGTTACTAAGTGTGTGAATTATTAGCTTTGCAGATAAACACTTATAATATTAGGTATTATATTAAATATTCTACGTGCTGCTCTGAAAAATAATAATTCTGGCTTATACTCATTTGCCCGTCCGATAGAGGAGTGGTACCGTATGTATCTTTGGGAATATTTTCCAAAGTAGATGTAGCAAGTTATGGTCAGACATATCAATAAGAGTCTATTCTAAAGCGCAATGTTTCTGAATCAATTTTCTCATACAGGACAAATTTCTCGGCTTACTTTTGTAAAGCAAAAATTATATCATTTCCAATTGTAATATTTATTATATGTACTCTTCAATATAATAATTACAGGAAGTGCTTGAATAAACATTGTATATCACCATGGCCCAAGGAACGAATGAGAACAAATAGTAATAATGAGAACAAATAGTAATAATATAGGGTACTGTAAGAGCAGAAGAATTTTCCAATGACAAGGATCGATTGTAATATTATGATTGACTTCGATATTTAATTGAAAATATCCGTTCTTGAGGTATAAGAAATTTCAAATGCATAGCAGTTAAGCGACAATGTGTAGAGTTCAAGTCGTGTAGCGTGAACGTTCTTAAGGACGACTAGTATGTGGACAGAGTCTGAGAGTTTTTGAGTGCCGGCGGGGTTAGGGTGGAAGTTTGAGAGTCGGCGATTAAAGGGCGATTAGTTCGTGTGTTTAGAGGGTGAAACGAGGAACAGAGTAGCGAGTTAACGAGATTAGCACAAGTGGCGGGAGTTTTGATAAGAGGTAGGATAAAGCCATCAAGTTATCATTGTAACCTGCAAAACAATTTTTTATAATAATCATTTAACCAGAATAATGCGAAGAGATCATTTATCACTTCCACAATTGAGGTCACGAGAATTGTCTGTAATTTATCATCTTCTCTATGTAATCGTCTCTTAATCTTTTACTGAAAATGAAATTGTAATACGTTACTAAACATTTCATTAATGGAAGATTGGGTAGAATGATTGGTACAATCAAACGGAAGATCATTCTACACGCAAAAATAAGTCGAAAACGTGGAATGAAATTTGTTCGTATAATATTTCGTGTTCTAGATAATTAAATTCCAAAATCGGCTGGATACGCATGCACTTGAATAGGACTTGGCTGGCGCGTCTGTTCATTACATTCCGCTTCTACTTATTGAAGTAATATTCATTAGTTCGATTATGTCGAACACGGTACATCATACGAACAAATTTTATTGTACATTTTCGACATACTTTCGCATGCAGAATGAATCAACTGTCCAACGTCCCACCAAATGATGAAGAATCAAAGGGTTTCTTCTTCGTCTATATTTCGATTACAATCTATGCTTTCTTTTACTTGTCAATATTTATCCAACAACATACCGCATCAGTTTTGCCTGACAGATACCAGTAGGAAGCACATTCGCCAGTAAACCGTGTTGAAATTCGATTCCGTCTTCCCTACGGTTAAACATTTCGTGCTGTAATTACTCTCTCGGCGGATGAGAACGCAACCGGAGATCGGATCGAGGCGGCGACCACCTCGAAAATTCAATGGACCCGATGATCGACGTTGTTGCATTTACAAGGGAAACGCAGCATCGGGTTCGGTGTCACGATCGATACGCTCAAATACGCCATTACGAATTAAACGCCGCCCTCTCGTCAGCAACCGA